GACAGCATGCCCGGGCAAAATGTTAAAAGGTCAGTACATTGTTCAAGTGCTTGATCAACGTTTGTAGAATTCCAAAATAGATCCATTGCTACCATAATGTTTCAGTGAACTTTCCATTCAGATGCATTGGCATCATATAAATCAGGGGCTGGCAAACTCTGACCTGCAGGCCAAATCTGGCCCTCTGCCACTTTTTGTAAATAAAGTTTTATTAGCACACAGCCAAGCCCATTTGCTTACACATTGCCACCAGCAGCTATCATGCTAGAAAGGCCGAGGTGAGCAGTTGTAGCAGAGACCATGTGGTCTTCAAAGCCCAAATTATTTACTATCTCGCTCTGAACAAAAAAGGCTCTAACCTCAGCTCTATGCCCAGTATGAAACGTTAGTCGTCTTTAGCTCGGAGCCATGCAGCTGGGGATGAAGAGTTTTAAACAATGTGGTGACCAAGGATGGCAAGAAATGAAAATCCTCTGTATTACAGCAGAACAAAACCCAAACAAAGAACTCTGCTTTGCTCCCGAATTCCTATGCTATTGTTTATCATTGAGCTGTGTTTTTCCACCAACAGATGATGATGATTAAAAAAATAGTTTTTGAGGAGATGATTTTCCATAAACACCCTGCCTTCATAGAACAGAGTCATCTTGAGCAATAGAAGACATATTGGAGACATTTTTTTTTAAAGATTTTATTTATTTATTTGACAGAAATTGAGAGAGAGAGAGAGCACACAAGCAGGGAGGAGGGGTAGAGGGAGAGAGAGAGAAGTAGGCTCTCTGCTGAGCAGGGAGCCTGATGCGGGACTCGATTCCAGGACCCTGGGATCATGACCTGAGCCGAAGGCAGACGCTTAACCGACTGAGCCACCCAGGTGCCCCTATTGGAGACATTTTTAAATCTGCATTTTGTGATCTAATTCCCATGTGGATTGAAGACCATGTTCACATGCTCTCTGGAGATGAGAACTAGATCTGGAGTCTGAGGACCCAGTGGCAGAACCAACCCCCGGGACTGGGGATGAGTGTCCCCTGTGTCCTCCGTTTCCTATCTGTAAAATAGACCCATCTGGGAAGTGCATCTCTGATGTCCCTCCTGGTTCTAAAACCCCAACTCTGGTGATTCCAATCTAATGGAAGGATTGGCCCCAATCTGACTCTACCCCATGAGAATGTGACAGTGTGACATTAAAATAATAAGGAATCTCTAAATACAAAACTCCCCTGTTGAATATACATTGCACTTAAGTTCTGAAAAGCCAGTTATTTAGCTTAACTAGTTGAGTGAGTAGCCGTAGTCAACATTTGGGCTGAGCTGCTCAAGCTTTTCTGGACACAGACCCTCCACGGGGCCAGAAAGGAGGAGGGAGTTCGGATCACAGAGATATCACAGGAGGTTCACTTGGACCCCATGAACAGCTTTGCACACGTGGGCCACGGCTCTCAGACCTGTGACACACAATATATCAGAATCTGTTTTGTATTTAGGAAAAAAACTCCCAGTGAATACAAGGCTTATTTATAACATACTCATTGCAGATGATTTCAGTTGTGTAGTTTTTAAATGTCTGCAAATCATAACACCTTCCCAGCCTCCGGCACAGTTCTGCTCCGAATGGTGTGTCCATTACTGTCACCTCACGAGTGTGTGACCTTGCGCTAATTTCACAGTCCATGGACACAGAGGGGCGGAGATGAGGTGACTCAGTTCAATGCGCGCCCAACACAACACCGAGATTCTGTTCCTTAGGTGTAAGCAGAATGCAGTTCATGCAGCGCCTTGCTGGTGACTCCCTGCGCTGAGACAAAACGGCCCTGGCGCCCTGCGTGGGGGCGCATGGAGAGGGCTCAATAATGTAAGGATTTCCAGTGTTTGGCCCGTGTCTGGATCTTAGATCAACTCCGGTATCCTATGGCAGTGGAAACGCTGTCTGAAAACTGTCAAAGAGTAGTGATAGATCCACTTGCATCTAGATATTTGTGTTTATTTTGATGGTGATCTAACCTGTGTGCTCAAAGAGCTGTGGAAACGTGCGATGTTACAGCTGGGAGGATTGTAGAAGTTAGCATTTGGAGTAGGGGGCTGAAAGTCAGAGGATTGATGGCCACACAAGGAGTTAATGGCAGGCTGGTCTTTCCTTTTTTTCTTACTTTTCATTGAGAGTCATAGAAAGAGCAAAATGTCCTAATCTACGTCCCTCAGAACACTCATGGAAAGGTGAGATGTTTGGCAACGTAAGCGCAGCCCAGATTCCATGGTCCAGCTGGAGGCCCCTTACCTGGTGCAGACCAGAGCCTTGGGCAGAGCGAGGTGCTCTCGCACACCCAAACCTGCAAACCTGTGGCAAAAGTCCCTCAGACTGAGTAATGAGGGTGAAGTGGGGAAGCCTGGGATGTTCACTGGGGCGAATGCCAATCACCCTCGGTGGTTGATGACCAGGGAAGGAAACGGTAACTCACCACCTTTAAGTAGACATAGCAGGGGAACTCCTGTGGGTGCAGCAGGGAGTGGGGACCATGGTGTAAGGCATGGAGTGACTCTTTCCCGGGACATTGCAGTTCCAGCTCCTGGCCAGGTCTAGGAAGCGATAGGAGATTCTGGGAGGCAGCTTTGTTTGGTACTTTCTGGAACTGGCATAAGTAGAACACAGAATTTCCTAAACTTTGTTCCATTGACCAAATTGTCTCCTGGGATCCATCAGTGGATCGCTTCCCCCACACCGTGACTCACACACAAAGCATCCTGGTGGTCACATAAGTCAGAAAACACTGCACTCTATTTCCCTCCTGGAGCTTTACTATGTTTATTAAACACATTAAAGGCTCTGAGAAGTCCTGCAGGGAAAAGAACAGTGTTTCACTTTGGGTTAAACAAGGTTCTCATACTTTTTTTTTAATAATACCATTATGAGCATCTGGTTTTCTCAAGAGTTCATTTTGGGAAGGACTGTTGGAATGGAATCCATACTTTTATATCCTAAAAATAATTCCCTCCCCCCGCCGCCCAGAGAATCTCATCTCTTTGCTAGGTGGCCTTAGGTCCCATCAGGTGATAAGCTGGAGGTACTTGGTATTTAATAATTTTTAAATTTATTCAATATTTTACTTCAAATAATGTAATACTTTTTTTACACTCTTCATTTATTTGTTGAAAAAAATAAAAAATGTCTTTGCTATTTCACAGGCACACAATATTGGGGAAGCACACAATATTGATTTCATTGCCTAGTGGTATAAACTCATGTGTGAATTTATCAGAAACCAGCACCCGGATGACAACAGTTCTGAGTCACTTGGAATCTGTGTTCAGGAAGGTTCTCGAGAGGGGGGTCTGGGTACCACTGCGGCTATGTGGAGGCCCTTTCTTAGGCAGACACTTAAGCCTCCTTCACATGCCATGAGCTCAGAACGGAACCGATTCTGGTCGGGGCTCCTTCCGTGGTGAAGTCCGCGAAGGCTGAGCAGTGGCTGCAGGGGCAGAAGGGGCTCATTGGACAGCGTTTGAGGGGCTCTACGGTCACGGAGACGTTGATGTGGCAGGGGGGTCGGGAGAGCTCAGTCCCCACTGCCCTCCACCTCGCTGCCCCAGTGACCCTGCAAGAGCCGGCACGCACCTGGTTGAATTGACGCACGAGATCCCAGCACCTCCCCGTGGTCACGAGCGTAACCTTTGAAGCCAGACACAGCTGGTGTCAACAGGATTGCCCACAGTGAGACCTGGGTGAGGTATGAACCCCTCACGTCTCTGTCCCTGCCGTTTCTGTACCAGTGACACGATGACAGTAATTCTGGCCTCGCGGTTCCCGGGAGAACCAAGTGACAACCTGCCACGGAGCGGTGTGGATCGGGCCGCGGGGGAGCACGGCGTGTGTGGCCTCTGCTCATGCTGGTGCCTCCAGGAGGCGTGTCCCCAGAGCGCCCACACCCCGCTCCAGCCAGGACCCCCCCAGAGCTCTGCAGCTCATTCCCTTCGGCTGCTCAGTTCATCTCTCGGACACGGGCCCAGAGCCCAGAGGAAACGCAGGGTGTCTCAGCGTGGGTCAGTGCCTCCTCTTCCCGGGGGGGCTCCTACGGGATCTGATTAGGCTGCCACGGAACATTACTCAGGGACAGGTGTGAGGGAGACGCAGCAGGGCTGAGGGCACATCGACGGTTTGAAGCTGGTTGGAGCCGGGAGACTCGCGCCGCCCTCCCGGGTCTGCCGCTGCTGGGCTGGGCGGCCGGGCCGAGGCCCATGAGCTCCCTAGGACGAATGCAAGCCCCGATCTCACCTTCAGCCAGTTTCTAATTGTTTTCGAACTGCCCCTTTGGCGTAGACCTACGTGTCAGTAGGATGGATGGCTGCTGGTTTCGGCCATAATGTCCGTCGTCAACACAGCTGCTGTGCCAAGTGGGGGCTCTCCCACCCCGAGGCTGAGGGTGCAGCGGGCCCGGACCCCCACCCGTGAGCAGCAGGGCCAGGGGGTCACCCCGGCTGCTGAGGCGCTCCGGCCCGCGCTGAACCGCTGCCCGCAGCAGGGGTCCCAGCCCTAAAGCCCGGGACAGCCAGGCCTCCCCGGACACCGTCATACTTACACATTGGTGCTCTTCTGGAGAAATCGAGAGTGCAGAGGCAGGACCCCGAGCAGCGAGCTGGTCCACCCAAGCCTTGGGAGGAGTCGGCTGAGCTGGTCCTCAGAGGATGCTGCCCCCGAGAGCTGGATGGGCCCTTCCAGCCACGGGGACGGACAGCGCGAAGTGAGCAACGCGCGCCGTGCTTGGGCGGGCGCAAGGCACACACGGCCAGTGCGGGAGTGTGGTCTAGTTCTGAGGGACGCTGGCCATCACTCAGGGACCCTATCCCAGGCCAGAGGCTTCCTACTTTGTGTGGCTGAAAACCTTCTTAAATGGGATCTCATGTAGAAGCTTTTTTGAAAAGCTTGAAGTGAGGGGAGTGGGTCTGGAACGCCATCTGCTTAGGCCAAGCCCTCACTCCCCTGACTAGATGTCTATGTGTGCGTGGCGTGTAGGGTGTCCCCAGGCCCCCCAGCCGTGGCTGTCCCGAGATGTGCTGAGGAGCCGAGGGCGCCCGTGACCGTGGATGTGAGAGATCATCTCCAAGTCCGTCCCAAGTCCGTGGGAGGAAAGCACTGGGCCTCTGCAAGCTCCTCGGCCCGGACCCACCCGGCCCGGGCCCAGCCCCGCGAGGGAGGCGCCGTCGGCGCTCAGTGGCCGCCCTGGGGCTTGTCCTCAAACCCGCTCTCTCCCTTGCCGAGGCCGGGATGGCCGTTCCCGTCGGTAGGAAGTTCATCTCCGAGCGGACAAGCTTCAGCGCTGCGCCAGCCCACCTGCGCTCTGGATACCGGCACGGCTGAGTCTCCTGTCCTCAGAAATCCAGGGCTCGCCTCACAGCCCAGAGAGTCGTCTGTGCCCTCTGGCTGTCACTTCTTATCTGGGGACACGGGCCGAGGAACTCAGCCTGTCCCACGTGGTTGCTTCCCATCGTGTCTCCTCAGATCCATGTGCCTCGAGTTGTCACCTCCCAGTCGGCAGTAAATATCCTTGAGTGAAACGCAAACACACCTCACCCACACTCCTCATGGAATGACACTGAGGATGAACATCCTGCTGGGACGTTTTTACTCCGGTGGTTCTGGAATCGAGGTCTTCCATTCTGCCCCGGTCACCCGGCCGTGAGAAGCTGGGTGCCACAGACACACCTGGAACTCCAGTGAAGGCCACTGTGGTCACCTCCTCCGTGCTGTCCTCTCGTGGGTGGACGAGGCCACCGCAGTCCCGGGGGCGCCCCAGGCTCACATCCAGGGTGACCCTCGCTCCTTCCCCTTCCTGGCCCCCTCTGCCCAGTTAGCCACCCCGTGCCCCACCGTCACACCTTAGTCTCAGTGTCCCGGGTCTCCTGGTGCGGTTCGCAGGTGGTCCCTCCGGAGCAGACACCCGTCCGGTCGTGCCTGGGACCGCTCACAGCCGAGGGGTGGCTGTGACCTTCCAAACGCAGACAGGCCCCGGAGACTCTGCTTTCTGGGGCCCACAGACGACCCCGAGGTCATCAGAGTTTGCATCACAGAGCTCTGCGTCCTGGAGAGGCCTCAGAAGTGAGCGGGTGAGACCCGAGGAGAGAAGAGGCCTGCCCAAGGCCGCCTCTGCAAGGTGGGTGGTGGCCCTTGACCCGTCCGCCGCGGCCCCGCGAAGGTGCTGCAAGCACCGCTTTCTCCCGTGGGACGTGGACGGGGCTTAGCGCCGACGGCTAGCCCGAGGGAGACGTTCACACACGTGTCTGGTTTCGTATCGACCCCCTTTGGTAGAAGCGCCTTGAGCCCGAGGCGCCACACTCCGGTCGGCCGAGAGGTGCAGGCGTGAGGGGAGACCTCGTGTTGGGGGGACAGGGCAGCAAGGCCCCGCGGGGCTGTGATCCTGGGTGACCTGCCTCCTCCCCAGGGCCGGCGAGGACAACATGACCTCTCGCGGGCTCTGCTCGCTCCGTGTCCCTTCATGCCCGGCCGTGGAACGGGGCCCGGGAGCTGCCGTTGGGTGAGCCCCCGATGCTGGACGCAGCACAGCGGCCTCCTGTGGGTTGGGGCACGGGGTCTTTTTGCAACGGGGGTGACTGGGCGAATGGTATATTTCCTAAACACTGTTTGCAAACGTGATGTGTGCCTGCTAGAAATTACTCCTTTCTTCCTCTTGCCTGCTCTCCCCCCGCCGAAACGCCGACCTGGAAAGCATCAACGTTGCTCTCACATGAAGCATTTTTTCAGGCCTGACACGGAAAGCTCTGATGTAGAAATTGAAATTTCACACTCTGCAGGGCCCAAATGGCTCCAGAGGTCAGCAGGCGGCTTTCGCGTCCGCCCACTGGTGAGTCATGGGGAGAGATGCCGCCCCAAATTAGCATCCGCAGACACTCGTGCGTCAGAGTTCTGTGCGCTAAAAAGTTTGCCTGACATCTGTGTCCCCCCCAACCCCAGCACATACTCAACAATTTTAAGCCGAGGGGCACGTCCCACTCATCTGGTGAATACATCAGCTGAATGCAATCTGCTTCACAAACAGATGTGTGTGTTGGGGGGCACTGAACACTGGTTAGAAGTTGCCGGAAGGTTCTTTATGAGGTTCTTGTTTTGTGGGTTGGGGAGTGGAATGGCCAGAGAGTTGACTTTAATCGAAACACACCTAATTTGAATGCTTGAGCTAGGTATCTAGAAAGATTTTTTCAAGTCCCCGTCCAAAAGAAGGGTTTCTGTTTTTCATCTGCTTACTTGGGCTTCCCGATCTGTTTTCCTGAAAAGACCAACAAGAGGTAGAGAGGGATTGGCGGCCGACCCCGGCTGGCTTGAATGCTGGGACGGGGCGTGGTCTCGCAGAGCCCCCCGTGTGATCGACCCTCCGGCTGCATGTACGGAGCCAAGCTGCCACGTCCTGGTGGCATTGCCCTTTTGAGCCACAATCACTTGCTTATTCCTGTGTGTTCGTTCTTCTTTTGTTTGGGGCCCGGGTCTAGACTTTGGCCATGAGCAGTGCACACGGCAGCGGGCATGTGGGTGATGCAGAGGCGGCCACAGCTCAGACGTCTGCTCCCCACGGAGGCTGCAAACTGCATTCCGGACCTTGCTTTATCACTCGCATTCTTCATGTGTTAGCAACTTTCCCCCTCCTTCACGCAAACCTCAGATGTCTCGGAGGAATGTTTATTTTATTATAGGATCCCAAAGGAGATTGCTATTTCCTTTTTAAATTTTCCCTGTCTTGCATTGTTCCCCTGTAAAGCGTCTCCCTCTGGGCGCTCCCAGCTGAGGAGCCCGAGGTGGTTCTTCTCGGTATGGACAGAACCAGAGGAGGGGTGACTCCAATTCGAGAAGGTCTGAACCTGTTTACATCTTCAGGAAGCCAAGCACCAGGACCTCGAAGTGAGCCATTTTCCACGGCACGAAGGACAAACTGGTGCAGATAATCCGAAGGATAGATGACGTCAGCTTGTCTCAGGTCGCCTGACCAAATTGCCCCCTGGTCAGGGTGCCTCTGAGGGGTGTGCGGTAGGACACCCTAGATCTCTCTCCCAGTCTCTGCTCCAGTGGGGTCTGTGAGACTTACGGGGCCTTTACTCTCCCTAGCTTCGCTGTCCGGATCTGATTTAGGGGCTGGACTTGATAACTTGCCAGGTCCCTCCAGCTTTAATGTTACAATTCCGTGGTCTTTGGGAGCTTGCATTCCCAAACACCTCCAAATAAGGAAACAAACCAAAGCCTCACGGAGCCCCGGAGAAGGCCTGATTCAGGATGGCGATGTGGTGGCGGACTACGGTCCCCGCCTCCTGGTGTTCCCGCTCTTGTGTGACCACCTCCACTTGAGTGTGAGGCCCACCTGGGGCTTGCTCCTAACCTCCGGGAGGCGATAGCGGAGTCGCGGGAGACACTCCCTTGCTGGCCTCGGAGAGGTGAGATGCCGCACTGTGAACCAGAGCGTGGACGGGGCCACGTGGCAAAGAGCTGCGATCAGCCTCTGGGCACGGAGTAGCCCCTGGCACCTCAGCCCTGAACCCCAAGGAGAGGAATCCTGCCAACTAAGGTGGTAGTGTTTGTCACTCAGCAAAACAACACCGATAAAACGGACAGCTTGGTCTCCTCCATGGTGGCCCTTGACAAGTGACAGCTGCTTGGCCCATGTCTGTGCAACAGACCCCCCACCCCCCAAGGTTTCACGGTCAGGTTGGCTCCTACTATTCAGATCTAAGAGGACCTCACATAAGCTCCTGCCAGGTTTTGATGGAGGGTGGAAATGGAGTAGAAGACTGGCAATCCCAATGCTAATAGGGCACTTAGCCGGGGGCCCGACGATTGCATCGGCCAGGAGTGAGGCCCAAGAGGGATCGCTCACGGGGCTGGCGAAGCGAGCCCCAGAAGCAGGAGGAATGCAGCAGGGGGTCTTGGGGGCCGTGGGGGACTGGGGAGCTCTTTCCAATCAGCTGCATGTCTGCAGCAGCCGGGGCGTGCCAGGCCGCTTGAGGGTCAGCATCGGGGAAGGCAGGAGCGCCCCAGGGTAAAGATGAAGGTACTCGGGCAAGACGACGGAGCTGCCTGGAGTCAGAAGGGACGCTTGATGGGCACGCATGGTGACTGGCCAACACAATGGCTTTTATCCCAAGCTGGAGGACCCAGGGCCATTCGTGCATCCCTGTCGAGAGCGGGAAGTGGTGTATGGAGATAGAGGGGTGACCCGAGTCCTTCCGGTGAGAGCTGGTGTCCAGTGAGGGGAGAGGAAAAGAAGTTCAACACACGCGTTGTCACAGTTGGAGTCTGAGGAGGGCTGGAAAAATGCTGACCAGCCTGGAGGTGGCTCTGACCCGCGGCTATTTGCAAAGGCAGGTGCGTGGGGAGTCTCTCCCCAGATGGACTGACGGACGTGGCAGTCTCCTGGGGAAGGTGCCTTTATGGGATGATCGGGAACTGCTTCCTGACAGCTGGGGTGCTTTTACCTTTATATGTAAATTACTCAAATGCACAGACCAGCAGCACCTGCTTTAGGAGGACCCTGGTTTCCGAAGTCTGCTGTGTCCTTGCAATCTCTGACCACCGGGGTTCTGGACGTGTCTGTCGCCGTGACTCACGGACGTGCGTCTTCTGTCCTTTGACGCTGGCATGGCCTGGCATTCTAGGAAAGGCAAAGCCTTCGGGGTCATCGTTTGTTTTCCCATGAAGCTTCTAAATACTGGATGTTGGTGAATATAAAGGAAATGGAAAGAAACAAAAATGATCTTTTTGGGTGCACCTTGGGATTCTCCAAGTCTTTTTCACGTATAACCTGGCGAGGCAGTGAGACCAGCATTTATCCTGGGAGACAAGAAACCAGACTCCGAAGTGGAAGAGGCAAAACCCTGGCCGATCCGAATCCTGGTCCGTTAGCTCTGGGCTGTGACCCCATGAGCCGCTTAAGCGGGGAAGCCGCAGGGCATGGATGAAAATAGCCGTCCGATCGGCATTCTGTGTGGAAGGGGGGCAGAGATGTCATGCCCAACTTTTGAAGGCTTCAGGAATCTGCCCCCCGCCCCTGGTGCCTTCTCCTTTGTCCTGACAACTGTCATTTGGACATGTAACAGCCGTGTTTGGATGTAAGTGGATGTGACTCTGGCCAGCACTTGACTGATAGGCTAAATTATCTGCAGCTGGCCCTCCCTGCGTCGGTGCCTTTGAAGGTTTGCTGCCTGCAGAGCGAGGGCCTCCTGCAGGAGGGGAGCGCCCCCAGAACATCAGGGGACTGAGCCTTGGCGTGGGACTGGCGCTTGAAGATGGCACTCTTCTTGGGGAGTAGCTCGTGGGCTGTAGGCACGTGATAGACCGCATCACTTGAGCAAAGGTCGATATCCCAGGAGTTTCTAACTCAGCTGGCTGAGATTTTTCCCTGGGCAGGATTCAAGGCCTGGCGCCTTTCCTGGGTGCCCGACTCACTTGCCCCCGTGGGACAGGGCTGTCCCGAGGATGCAAGGGGAGGGTCAGGAGTGCCTCATGGACATGCTGCCTTCCCTTTGGCTTGGAGTGCGTGTGTCTGAGAAAAGGGATTTGCTTCAGAAGGCCGAGAGAGCCCGAGGTGCTGATCCATCACTGCCTGCGTCCAAGGAGTGCAACGTTTCCTTGTGGCTCGTGGCTGCCCATGTGGATGCAGAGCCTGTATCTCGCCTGGAAGGAAGGTATGCAACCACCTTGTGCCTCACCACACAGGCCTCTGCTGGGGCTGGCAGGACGGCAGGCTCTGAGGTGTGGGAGGATGGTGACCCCTAGGCCCTCTCTCTGCAGGCGAGGAAGAGAGGCCCAGAGAGAGTGAAGGAATGGTCCAGCCGGCTGGCTTAAGCAAGACGGACTATATTTACATCCCCGTGGGCAGGACAGGATCCTCAGGATCCTTCTGTTTAGAGAAACCCCGAACTTAGGAGCAGTTCAGAACTGTGTTTGAACTACCTGGCTTTCCTTATGCCGGGACCTTTGGCAAACCGTCCCTTTGTGGTTCAGGTTTTTTTCTGCTCGATCCCACTGGCAGGTGAATTTTCTCAATTTTCTGGGAAGTCTGAACAAGACGTACTCAGCTGCCAAATGTTACTGAGAATAAAAAGAAAGCATCTTTTCGTCATCAGTGTCTGCCCCCGACAGCGCTTGACAGCCCGGGTTCTGAATATTAACTTTTCCCAGTGGTTCAGTTCTTGTTAAAATAGCATTTCCCGGTTCATCTCCACCTTGAACCTGAGGTTTGTGCAAAGATTCTTCTTAGCCAACATTCAGAACTCATTTCGGAGGCAAGAGATCTTGAAACTATTTGAAGTCAACTGTTGGAAGCCTCCAAAGAAACGGAAAAGAAAGTTCAGTGCGTTCTACTTTGCAGGAGAAAGAGGAAAAGCATGAGGAACAGAACTTACCCCGAGGATTCATTAAAAGATGGCAATGCATTCAGCCGGATTTCGGCAGCTACCTGCACAGTGCTGGGATGTCCATCCCACTAATTCCTTTGGGCTCGCTCCAGAAACATGGTTATCTTATAAAGCTTCAGTCACCTTTTCCCTATACAAATTAAGGCAAAGAAGTGAACTAAAGTATTTAAATGAGGAAGTTGAAAAAGAGAGTTTTCTGGGTAGCTCCGCTTTTCCAGAAGATTCTGTCCATCCAGATTGTGCTGTCGCTATGTGTCCCCACACACTGTGGGTTCAACGTGAAGTCTGGCCTCACACTGTTTCAGGGTCAGCTCAGTAGCACGAGTCTAAGGAAGTGGACTGGAATGCTTTGGGCTCCTTATTGAACTGGTCAGCTTTGGTGCTGTGACTGACGGGTCCATCCTTCGAATCCTTACTGGAGCAGGCGCAGAGGAAAGCTGACTCCCAGGAACCAGCCCCCTCAGATTGCCCTTCAGATGACACCATCCCGACGAAACTCCATGAAGATGGGTGTTTCCGGAGAGCCGAGAAGCATGGTTTGCTCTTTGTGATCAAGCTGGTTCTGGTGGGTCACCTCATGCTAAGTATCAGATACTAAAGTAACCAGTTTGGTCACTACCTGTACCCCTTAAAGAAATTCTCAGAAAACAAGGACACATGGAACATCTCAGGAAATTCATTAATTCACCTCAAATCTTCCTCCTTCCATTCTTATGTAATGCTGAGAGCCAATTGCTAAAAATCAAACAAATGGACATGTTGAAGATATCAACCAGTAGGAGACAACTTTGGGGGGGAACTTTTAAGTAAAATGTATTCAGATGTGTTTGAATTATGCATTGGTGAAGACATTCAGAATTTCCATGACTGTAGCAACAATGATTACTGTTTGTTCTTAAGGGCAACACACATGTTTCCAAGATTTTGTTTTGTTTTGTTTGTTTTTCCTACAGAGCTAGGCTTTGCAAGACAAACATGCTTATCCTTTAGAGACATGGGATTTAAAAATCTATAAATAAAATGCCAACTTTACAAAAAATTTGGGAGTGTTTTTTTTTTCTTCTGATTTCGTGATCTTTCCCGAATGCCCGAGGCGGTGGTTGCATTTCTGGAAATGCTTATGAAAAATCCTAAGCAACTCTCCCTATTCAGGAAACTTGGGGTGTGGGCAAGCTCCCTTACTTGAATGAAAAGAAGTTCCAGTTTGGAATCCTGGGTTTGCAGTTAACTAGCTGTACACTTTAGGGAAGTCATTGTCTTCATCTGTGAAATGCTGGAAAGGAACACCTGTCTCATGGGGTTCTGGCACTGTGAAATCCAACGATGCAATTTAGTTCTTTCAACTGTGGCCACACCACATGTAGGATCCTACGGCACCCTAAAATCTCTTTGAATCAGAAAATAAGGAAGAAGAGGAAAATAAAAGATCGCCCTTCTCCTGCCCACCATACGGCCAATGACCAATAACTGATATGCTTGATGCTGAAAGATGCGGGCCAGCCTTAGGGGTTCAGATGGGCCCTTTGGACAATAATCCTTCATCAGTGGATGTGTATTCGTCTATCACAGGCACATCCTGCCTGGTTGTCTCTCTGTGATGCTAGCAGGCTTGGATGATCATTTGCTACATCTATTACTTCATGAGGGATTGACGTGGTCATAGTCTTTTTCTTTACGTAATTAATTGGATTATCTCCATAAAAAGAAACTTCCCCTTGGTTACTATGAGGAAGAGTTTATATATAAAAAGCAGGGTAGATGCTTGATTCTTTCCCTTCTTTTGTAGTTTGCAAAGTAATGCATTGATTTGCTAGCCTCCTCAAAAGCTGACCGATGAGTTTTTAAAGGTGTCATCATGAACTCGTAGATGTAAATATTCCTGGTAGGTTCCAATCCATTGCAGCTTTCCCTTGATCGATGATCCAGTTATCTCATCTTTGGGCATTGGGAGCCTCTCCTGGCCCCTTTTGACCCCACCCAAGTGGTCTTGAGGGCTTCCTTGCTTCTGGCTGCCAGAAGACATTCCAGGCTCATCCTGTACATTTCCCGCTCCACACCTGGACTCGGTTATTTCTCCAAGTAATCCTGGTTTCTTTCAGTGGAAAATGGTGTTGGGGGATCAATGGGCCCTTGGAGCGCTCAGTGCTGCTGGATGGTCTTTAAGTCTAGTGTTTTCAGTAGAGCCAGTAGTTTTTTATGTTGTTGTTGTTTTTAAAGATAAATGCATCGTGAATCCATTGTTATTTCCAGTTTAAGTCCAGGACCAATTCAGGTTTATTTAAACAGACTGATCTTAGGTTCATGTTTGCTAACATTATATTTAGGGTGTTTGCTTTGATACTCACAAGTGAGGTTGGTCTGTAGTTTGCTCTTTGGAGTATTCTTTATCAGGTTTGGGAATTAATGTTATGCTTGCTTAATGGAAAGACGTCAGAAGTTTTCTTTGTTGCTTAGGATCTAGACTAATTTATGTGGCAGTGGGATTATCTAATCTCTAAAGGTTTGATAGAATTCTCCCTTAAAACCATCTTTCTGCAATGCTTCTTGAGGGGGACACCTTAATTCTTTTGCTTCTTCTGTGGTCATTGGCTTGGCTAAGCTTTCTGGCTCTACTAAGGTCGATTATGGTATATTGTAATTTTCTGGAAAAGTAGTTATTTCATCTAGGTTCTCGAATATGTTTGCACAGAATTTCAGATTTGTGTTTTGTCTCTTTCATCGTCTTCTTAATTAGGATAGCTAGTGACTTACCTATTTTTGTTCAGATTTTAAAAGAACCAGCTTTTAGGTTCACCATTAGTCCCACTGCATTTCTCCCCTAACATTAATTTCTGATTTTGTCATCATCTAATTTTGGGGGCTTATTTTAGGCTTTTTTTTTTTTTCTCTTTAAAACTTTTTTTTTTTAATCAGTCATTTACACTTTAATAGAAACAAATGAGTACAATTTGGTCAATGAATCTCAGCATCTTGGGAGGACCGGGGGTCTTAACCACCAGCACCCTTCAGCTGAGCCGACCTCCTTCCTTCCAGTCAGTGCTGCTTCTCTAGCTTGGTACATTTACTTTTTTTTTTAGTATTATTATGTTATGTTAATTACCATACATTACATCATTAGTTTTTGATGTAGTGTTCCATGATTCATTATTTGCGTATAACACCCAGTGCTCCATGCCAAACGTGCCCTCTTTAATACCCATCACCAGGCTAACCTATCCTCCCACCCTCTTTAAAACTTTTTGATTTGGATGCTTATTTCATTTATTTTCATTTCTATCGATAGATACATAAATAGATTTAATACTGTACATTTTATTTTGGAACAGTTTTAGCCATATGCCAATGAATTCAGATATGTGACATTTTCATTATTCCTCTCCAGAAAACCTACAGTATTGGTCTGTGTTTCCTACTTGATTCAAGAATTTTTCTAAAAGATTTTATTTATTTATTTGACAGGAGAGACAGCAAGAAAGGGAACACAAGCGGGGGGAGTGGGAGAGGGAGAAGCAGGCTCTCCGCTGAGCAGGGAGCCCGATGTGGGGCTCGATCCCAGGACCCCGGGATCATGACCTGAGCCGAAGGCAGACGCTTAACGACTGAGCCTCCCGGGCGCCCCTGATTCAAGAAATTTTAAATAGCATTTAAAAATTTTTTTCTAGATAGCAGGATATTTTCTTTTTTGGTTTGTTATTATAGTTTTGCTGATGGTAGTCAGAGAATGCCTGTTTGTATTAGTTTTATTCTTTGGGTTGTATTGAGGTTTTGTATTGTTCCATGTACACTTGAAAAGAATGTATATTCTGCAGTGTATGTGTATAAAATCTACTTATTGCTTATTGGTTATGTTGTTTGGGTCCTCTGTCTCTGCACTATTTTTTTCTTCTTGGCCTAGCTTTTATTGAGAGAGGTGTGCTAAATTTTCCTATTATTTCTTACTTCTCTTAGATTTGTGCTTAAGTTGTTGGTATGTATATTTTCATTGCAAACTGTACACTTAAGTTTTATAAAGTGTGCTACTTTGTGTCTTTTAATTTTGTTTTGTCTAAATTCTATCTTGTTGGATACTAAGATTATTATCCCTACTTTCTTTTTATTTGCCTTTGCCTGGTACCTCTTTGTCCATATTTCTACTTTTACTTTTTCTAAATTTCTTCGATTTAGACCCATCTCTTATATACACAGTCTTGGATTTTTCTTTGTTGGTCAAGCTCAAAATCTTTTCCTTTTGTAGATGAGTTAAGCCAATTTTCATGTATTTAATATGATACACGTGTGCCCTCAGTTTACCAGATTGTCTCTATAAATTGTCTTTCCTTATGTTGTCTATTTTATTTGTTCTCTATTTTTTGATATATATAATTTGCATTTGGGGAGGTTTATATATTTTTTTCAAGTTTCCATTTGTATGACACCTTCATATAAGACTGTATATGTATCATTGCATAATACAGTAATAATGTAGCATCCAGGGTCCTGGTAGGAGACAGAACAACACCAGTAATTTGACCGGAGAACATTTAATATAAGAGTTGCTAACTAGTGAAAGAGGTTACCTACTAAGAGCTAAAGAGAATACCACAGAGGATACAGCAGGTATGCGAGCAAAACACTGCTTCTGGGGGTGGCAGAGACCAGAGGAAGAAACCTGGAGGAAGAATACCCTCCTTTAAGACCTCCTTGGAAAGGATGTGGCACAGTCCCAATGAGCATTCTGTTCCTTAAAGACCCAACTGTAAAACTAACCTGTGACAACTTGTATATAAAATAATCATGCTCATGAGGACAGAGGAAAAGAAAATGGTTAGCGCTTCTAACCGCACATAACAAGCAAAGAGAAAATGGGCAAAGCTGCCAAAGTTCTTGTGTCTGCAATGGGTCATGAGGCCATAGTCAATATCTATGGCTTCCTTCTTTAATGATCCAGACCAAATTCCCTACCCTTAGCTAGAACCTCAGCTCATGGGGGTTCCCTACCTAGTGGAGTGACTCAAACTTTCAGCCACCAAGGGTCCGAATCCTTGATCACGTTGCGGTTTTTTGGGTTGCTGTAATTTTATTAACCTTAACTATTGGACGTGGCAGCACTGTGGTGAGATCCCCTGAAGAGTGCCCTGGGTTCCAGGCATGATTACTCTCTTAGCCGGAGAGATGGATGAGGTTTTCTCACCAAGGGGAGGTCCGGTTACTGCCCCATAGGGGGCGTGAAATGACTTTAAGAGCTCCAGATGAGACTGTCCTGCACAGGGGAGGACTGCATACCAAGGCTAAGATTTGGGTTTAGAAGGAGGCAGCTCCTTTGTAAAAGCCTCGGTCTGAGACATCTGCTCCAACGGAACTTGACCAAAGCCCCGCTCACACCATGTGGGGTCCTGCTGCCATCTGCTCTGCTTCCGTGTGGGTCTGTCCCAGCCAGCGTCCTCTCAGGCACACAGTGGCTGGAGGGGGTTGTTGGGCATCCTGCTCGGGTGGAGGGCCACCTTGAGGTGGGCTGGGAAAGAGGGCCAGGAGACCCTGCAATCTGTCTGCTTTTCAGGTTGCTTTCCAGAAGCAGGGTTTTTATGCCAAGCAGAAGAAAGGGCAACACTGGGATATGGGGAGAAACTTTCAGAAGAAAGTGACGATGTTGACTTGCTCACCGAGCCTTTTCAGTATATTTGACAGCTATGGAGCTATGACACCCATGAAAACAAATAGGGGGTAGTCCATTTCAGAGAGCGTAGCACATGGAGTTTCTGAGTTCTTTGAGGAAGACTCCCTTCTTTGTGGGGTTTCTAATAATGTCTGCTTAGCAGCCCTCACCCTCAGCAGGCAGGGAGAATGGGTAGCTTCCAACTTTATTCCAACTTTATTGGCCCTGCCCCTCAGTAGCCATCCCACTGACCTCTCATTGGTGCTTTAGGCTCTACTGTTTGAGATCTATTTGTTTTAGTCATTCTGTTGTCTAGTGCCAGAGGGAAGTGACCCTGAGAGAGGGACTCAGTCACTCACCTGGGTGGGACTAACCCCATCAGCTGCCCCTT